AATTTTTAAAGGGTAAAATGATCAATATACATTTTTCAAATAAAAGAATTAAAATAATTAAATAAAGGAACCAATAAATAAAAGAAAAAGAATTTACCATCTTTGCCACTCCCACTCCCACTCCCACGCCTACCCCCGATCCAAATCCAAATCCAAATCCAAATCCACTGTCGTACAATCGTCGCCGCTGCAACAAGACCACAAATAGAATCACATCACAACAACCAAATCCATCAATCCTCAGCCATCCACCAGTTGAGGCAATTTCAGAAATTCAAGGGTAACAAAAATTCACCTCCCCCTTCCAATTTCTTCTTGCAAGAGTAACATAAATTCTATTCCCACTCAGAGATCATGGTCGGGAACTTTCTTCTGGTTGCCAACTATGGACCTCCTCTCCGAAGACTGTAGACAACTGTGGACCTCATCTTCGAAGATTGTGGACAACCGTGGACCTCCACTCTCACACCGTTGTGCAGATCCTCCATTGCATCCGATAACAAGTGCTTCTTCTCAATTACTGATCAGCCACTCCAATCCCCTTTAATCTTTAGGTTAAAATGCAGTATCTTTGGAGGGTCTTCACCATCCATAGCCTTCAATCCCTGCAACTCCATCGTGAACTGCGACACCATCTTGCTCTCCCCATCCTCCTTCACAAGCGTAATACTTGACTCGCTCTCCACATGGGCCCATCGCGACGTTCCCACCACTGTTATGTAGGACCCTAACGACATCCTACAAGGTATTACCATCAAATTTTCCTTCTTCAAAAAGTTATCCCTAGGCACAAACACAGTGTTCAGGCAAAGCTTGAGGCCATCTTCACCTCACCGCGGACCTCCTCTCCGAAGACCGTGGACAACCGTTGTCCTCCACCCCTTACAACCGTGGACCTCTTCTTCGAAGACCTCTCAGCCTTTCCACACCTGAAATGCGGTCTTCTCATCCTCACCACCCACCGCCTACTCTGGATGTTGTTAGATTCCAATATCCCCACTATTTTTATTTAATTTTTTTGGTTTTTTATTTAATTATTTTAATTCTTTTATATGAAAAAAGTAAATTGACCTTTTTACCATTTAAAAATTAGTCAAAATTTGTGTTGACCATTGACTTTTGGTCAACTAACAAATGAACGAACTGATTCCATTAGATTAAACTCCAAATGCTAATTTTTAAAAGGTTTGGCACTGTGGGTAGCAAAAATAAAATGTTTTGACAAAATCTGTTACTAAATGAAAAGTTTGGTACCTTTGCTACAATTACCCCTAATTTAAAGTCACCAATTAAGTGCTATAATTGGTCATTTTTGGAGGTTAGAAGATGACCAGGTGTGTGCAAGTTGCAAACATGAGACTTTTCCTTTTTTCGTTGGAATAGTAAAAATAAAAATAAAAAATTAGGAAAATCTATGTCAAAATATAGTGTGTTTTTGTGTGTGTGTGTGTATTGATAAAATTAATGCAAATGAAAAGATATATTTTAAATATGCCACGTCTAGTAAAAATAGAGAGTATATTGATATTTACTCCTTCGTTGGAAATTGAGTCTTTTTGTTCTCTTTCTAAAGAATTTTAATTTGTTAAACAATCGTCACAAAATATACACCAAAAACTTAATCATTTATCTATAAATATTGCATGAGAATATCTTTATTAATTTAATTATTGTAAATAATGTTGTTGTGTGACCAACTAGCAGTTGCCTCGTGCACAATAAAATGTGGTTCCCACTAATTCGTCTTCAATAGTTGGATGGTCATTGGACTATTATCCAAGAGTAATGCTACTTGCAGTCGCTCACTGTAACAGTTGTCCTATGTGGCACACACATGACATGTAGTTATTTGATGCATTAATGTGATAGTTTTTGACCACATTAATGTATCAAATAACTACATGCCATGTGTGTGCCACGTAGAGCGACTGCAAGTAGCATTATTCATTATCCAAAACCTGCATGGATTTGATGCTAACAGATTCATGGTATTTGATCAATTTAATGTAATTCCACTGGTGACTGGTCAATCCCAATCCAACAATCTTAGTCCAATCTTCTTATGAATTTTTTTTTTTATTGATGGACAATCTCGATAAATTTAGGATCCGTTTGTTAGGATTTTAGATTTTGTTTCTATTTCTATTTCAGTTTCTTGTAGAAGAATTTCTTGAAAACGTTACATTAGCTCAAATTCTTTTATATATGTTCAAAATTAACTTCTTAATCTCTAAAATAACTTTTAACTTTTAAATTTCTTATCAAACTGATCCTTAATCACGTCGATAAGTTAAATTTGAAATCTCACGCATATTACCTACCAGTCTTGCAAATTTTGAAATTCCACGCTCACATGAATAAGGAGTAATTAGTATCACATGTCTCCACCTACCCGTTGGATCTTCAAAATTAATATAGACTATTCAATAAATTGAATAACCCTAAAATTTCAAGTTAGTTTTAGATGTAAATCCCTTTATCGATAATTTATCAATTCACTTGCATCGGGTTTTTTTCAAGACTTCTAATTCTTATACGTCGATCTCTTTTGTACCATCTGATGAGACATGTTAAAAGCCAGTCTTCAGGCGCATTTGACAAGACTTTTGTAAGATAAAAAATCACTTCTTCAGAGCTCAAAAACTTGCTTTTGAACCTATTTGAACAATTTTCTGGAAGTTTTTGTAAAGTTACGATTGTTTTTAGAGGAAGTTGATCAAGATAATTTATTCGAAAAATTCTTTTATAAAGTAGAAGCATAAGTCTCGTCAAACAAGTCCCACCTCATCACCTTCGACTTCTTTATTACTTTCGAGTGCCTTCGTTATGGGACTTAATCTTCAATTAACAATTTGATGATGGATTAAGCCACAATAATTTAACAATATCTGTGACATAATCGGCCTGATAAACTTTCTAATTTATGTTTAAAGCCCTAAACAAAATATTAATTTCCGATTTGAAGGATTAACAATTTTTTGGTCAATTACCCAACTTGCTAGTGGTTATTATTCATTATAAAACTTCGTCTTGAAAATTAAATTACGATTTGTAAAGAAGAAAATGTTCACTACTGATTCCTCCTAGATCAAAAGGGTCGAAACCTTCCACAATTTCACTCCCCATGCGAGATTGACACGTTGTTCTTTTATAAATTGGTGATCATAAAAAAATAGATAAAGAAAATTTAAACGTAACCCATCTTCAACATGTATATTTAAATATAAACCAAATTTAATTTTCATCAATTTTTACGTATCTCATCTTCAACGTATAATTTTAATATGCATTATGAAAGAAATATAATGGATTATAGAGACACGTATAACTTAGAAATTGATCGTTCAATTAAAGGAGGGTTGAATTAAGGTAGGTTTGAAAATGAAGGACCATAATTAATATTAAATCTTCCTTTAAAAAACAATTATTTAAGCCAACTTGACAATGTCGACTTATGCCAAATTTGGTGGGACCATCAAAATCCAGAGCTGGTGTATGTGTGTATGTCACTAATCAACATTCAACACCGCGATATACAAGTAATTTATAATCCATGCTCATGGATAAGCATAACAAAGTTTTTTTTATAAGTGAAGTTACTGATAAGTAAATTATTGATGACGTGTTCGGTAGAGATTAAAATCGAATTAAAATTGAAAAAATAATCGTTATTGTTGACTTTTATTAAACGAGTGAGACTCAATAACGACTATATTTTCAATTTTAATTGAATTTTAATCTTTACCAAACGAGCACTGAATATTTTTTTATAAGTAAATTACTTATTTTGATGTATAATAAAAGTCGAAATAAGCAATCTTTTCTACTTAGATTTTTAAGCATATCCAATTATGCTCAATAACAATAAAAAAAAATCTAAAATATATTCTTTATTCAATGAATGCATTTTATAATGTATATTCAATTAAAGCAGGCGAAAACACTCTTTCCTGGACGCTTCGATTATTTTTTAGAACATTGAAATTTTGAGACATGGACTGTCAAATTGGACCATAAATTTGATACAAACGAGAATGTTTATTCTGCATTATTAAAAGCTAACAAGAATCCATTCAAACAACTCTATAATTACTGTGGAACATTTCCAACACATCAAAATTGACACTTTGGAATGAGTGGGCTAAGTATTTTTAAGCACGTGTTGTCTGCTTCATATGAGAGTTTCAAGAATATTGCCACCCATATTTTTAAGTCATATAAATGTCACAAAATATTGCTAGGCAAGGGGAAAAAAACTAATTAAATATCACTTTTAAAGAATTCAGAATTGATTATATGAATCTTATTTTTTTAAAAAAAAAATCTTTACGTTTACTAGAAGAATCAATGCAGCCATATTAAATACAATAACGTCAATCCCGATCGACGATGCTTGATGAAGGCAAGAACAATAGTTTAAATGATTTGCTTGTTTAGGTGAAAGTGTGAATAATAAGTAAATAATAATGGCGAATCTCATGAAATGTGGTACATAAGTATCTATATAAGGGTGTCCATAATGCTGATATGGCAATCATCCGGTCATTGATGTGTACGTGTCAGATTTGAATTAAATGTGAGAGCATGTGCCACATCAATATTATGAACACCCTTATGTGGATGCTTATGTACATCTAGTATTATCCTAAATTGTATTCATTCATAAAGT